GTATCCCATATGACACTTTTCAATTTCTCTATTCCTACTTGGCTAGCTTAGATGATGAAATAACAGAGGAGGTATCCGAGTCTTTTCTCAAGTCTCTTAAAGAACAAGTGTAAGTATTAATGGGTATATGAATCTTGTGCCCCCCTCCTCAGCAAACTGAACATCTGCTTTTTACCTCCTACTTCAATCCAAATGCCCAGATCCTTTTGATCAGGAGAAGAGACTATAGCAATAGCAATATAGCAGTTAGACTTATATACCGCTTCATAGGGCATTCAGCCCTCTCTCAGCGGTTTTACAGAGTCAGCATATTGACAACAACAATCCGGGTCCTCATTTCACCCACCTCGGAAGGATGGAAGGCTGAGTCAACCCTGAGCCGGTGAGATTTGAACAGCCGAACTGCTGAAGTAGCCTGCAGTGCTGCATTTAACCACTGCGCCACCCCGGCTGAATCCCACCACTGGGCCTAGCCTACAGCAATATTAGCAATATCTAGACACACACAGGTCTCTCCCCTCCCCCACCTCTCCATAGACTAAATTCATGGATTGATCCAGGTAGCTATAAACAGAAGTTCCTGGATCTGATCTTCCAGGAGAACAATCGAATTTTAGAAAAGGATTTTTACCGGCAACCTTTAACGATGGACTCAAAATTGTAAAAACTTGATAATTTTCCCACATGAACGAATGCCTCTTCTTGCCATTATTGTTAGGACGCCTTCTATGTCTCTCTCCTGCCCTGTCTCTCACAGTTCTCCGGGCGAACACTTACATCCGTCTGCTTCCATTTTGCTGACATAATCTTTGGCCCTCCGGATATTCTGAGAAGTGGCTTGGATGGATTGACTTGGCTTCCACACATTCACCATGTCAGAAAAAGTAACGATGTTGAAATGATCGTCTGGATGCAGATCACTTAGTATGACATGCATAGCTTTCTTGATCTGTAAAACCAAGAAAAATTAGAGGTGGAGCTGGATGACCTTATTAGCAGAAATCTGACCTTTGAATCACATCAGTTGATGCCCATTATTGGTATTGAGCAAATGGAAATGTGCCTTCCCCACTCATTTTTAATGTAGGTGTTTACAAATGAAATGATATTATTCCAAGCAATGTAAGATAACATAGTTATCTAAGCTTCCTGAGTATATTTTTCGTCAAACCTGAGTCCCCGAATCCTAGATAGTGGATAATGGACAAAAGGTTGTAAAGTAGACTCTAAAATTAAAAAATATATTTTGCATAAAATTACTTGGGTTCAGATTGCATTTATCAGAAATCAGGAGGAGTCTGGTAGCACTTCCCTGATTAACAAATATTATTTAAAAATAAGCTTTTGTTACCTGCAACTGGCTTCATCTGACTGCTATGGTGTTTGCCACTAGCAGAAATGCTGAAAGTAGTATTAGCTAATTTAGTCTATACTTTCTCTTCAATGACCGATTTCATTTCATGTTTCCACCAAGAATCCCTTTACATAATTCCAACACTTCTGTGACATTCAGCCTGTTGTTTAATCAACCATTCTTCCATTTGCATCATTTATTGGAGCTCAAATACACTATATTATAATAACCAGCATCAATCCCCATCCATAGCAAACTAAATAGCAATAGCAATAGCAGTTAGACTTATATACCGCTTCATAGGGCTTTCAGCCCTCTCTAAGCAGTTTACAGAGTCAGCATATTGCCCCCNTTAAGGGTTAGGTTTAGGTTTAGGGTTAAGGTTTAGGGTTAGCTTAAGGGTTAGGATTAGGTTTAGGGTTAAAGTTTAGGGTTAGGTTAAGGGTTAGGTTTAGGTTTAGGGTTAAGGTTTAGGGTTAGGTTTAGGGTTAGGATTAGGTTTAGGGGGGTTAGGTTTAGGTGTTAATTTTAGGTTTAGCATTTACAGCGTGCTTCTGTCTCCGTGCTGTTGTCGCCCTGTTGATGACGTCAGCTACACGGTTTCGTCGAGCGCGGTTTAGTCGAACGCGGTTTCGTGGTGGAACCCATTTAGGCACCCTTTCACTTCTTTTCTCAAGCTCTTTCTCCCATACCTTGTGCAGCTGCATGGATTATTCATCAGTAACTCCTCTCTTTCATCAACAGCCCCTTCCTTGTACTACAAGCCGTCATCATTACTGATAGGGAGGCAGAATCAGATAATGAGAGAGGACAATAATTACCTTTTGTTTCCAGCTCCGGGAAAAGCTGCAGTCTATTCCGCATGTGGTTTACTGTTTGTGCTTTGAAGATGACAGGGACAGGATGAGGCCCCAAATTATTCCACGTTTCTTCGGGGGCTTTCTCCCCAACGTTATTCCACACGACTATCACTTTCTGCAGGTGAGGCATGGCTTGATAGTGATTTAAAAGCTTCAAGAGTAAGTCCGTTCTGTTGTAGGTCTGCATGATGAGAGTAAATGAATCTGAAGCCAACTGGCCTTGGGACTTCCTCTCCCTTCGCAGAGTGAGCATTTTATCTTCCTTAATGTTGGGTAGTAAAGCTGTTAAAGCACCTGCCACCAGAAGCAGCAGAAAAATCACGATAGAAGAGAAGTGGAGTAGCCGTATACCCATAATTCTTCCAGGTAGCTTGCAGGTATGGTAAAACCTTAAGTATTTGGAAAAAAAAGAGGTAAAAGTTAGTCAATCAGTCATGATCATATAATGTTATATACAAAATTAGCATCAACACGAAGGATAAGCAGTTTCTTTAAGCTGGCTGCTTGAAATTTAGGAAATAGCAATAGCAATAGCAGTTAGACTTATATACCGCTTCATAGGCCTTCCAGGCCTCTCTAAGCGGTTTACAGAGAGT